TTATCTTCTAACATTGTGTTGGGTACCTAGTTAGATGTTAGCAGGCTTGGCGGACATAAGGACTGGACCCTTCCTTCATAGGCGACAGTCTGAAAAACCAAGGAGGACTTTAAGTATCAGTCAAAAGAATTAGACCTAAATCACGTCTCTGGTCCTGTGAGGTGAGGAGATATGACATCCTGAACTGATTAAAAGATCATCAATGGAAAAATTATCTAAGCCAGGCTCTAGAAACCCTAAATCTTATAAGAAAGGGGCTATGTGGAAAGAGGCTTTCTGATAAAGAACAAGCAGGTCTTTCAGTCACACAGATAGGACAAAGTCCCTTAGGAAAGCTAGCTTGCTATAGAGACTTTAGAAAACAGTGTAAGACCTGCCCAGAATGTAGATAGGAGCAACCGTTTCTTTGGCCACTGTCGGCTTTCCCCATTGAGTGTGTACTCAGCTTTACCCGGAAATAACCTCTGCCTATCCACCATATTCTGTGTCTCCTGGGACTTCCTTCAAGAGGGGGTGCAAAGACTGGGAGAAGAGGAGGCTCAAACTGAGATCCTGACAAGTCCCATCCTGTGTTCTCGTGGTGATATTCTAAGTGCTTGTGACACTCTTGCATCCTCCTGATTTCATGGGTCCTCTCTCTCTATGCAAAGAGATTATCCATGTACTTCATATATACAAGCAACCCAATTCCAGGATTCCATTCTGGGGATCTACTTCCTGGGGTCTCTTCTGGTAAAGTTTACAGTATCCTTGGAGATTCTGACAGAAAATAAGTGGCTCACTGTAAGGACATAGGAAGATCAAATACTTCCTACTCTCTACTTACTACTCAGTACTTGAGTGACCTCTGATTACTACAGATGGAGACTCTTCCTACCCCGGGCAGTTGGTGGCAGTACTGGGTCAGTCTTGCAGCTGTGAACTGATAAAGGATCATGGGAATGCACATGTAGATCACTGGTCAGAAGCACAAGCCACAACCCGTGCTTGTCACCGGCACCTGAATCTAGACGTAATCTCCTGGGACTAAGCCTTACGGCTGTTGGAACGATGCCATCTTCAGTTGAGCAGTGTCAGAACTGAAGAGAATTAGAGGGCAGATGATGCTATCGGTGGCAGCAGGAGGCCACAGCTCAACGCAGCCACTTGTGGCCTGAAGAGTTCCCTTACCCACAGGGACCTCCACTCAGGCAAAGCCAATGTTTGAAAGTACTTCAAGGAATTTCAGGATGGCTGAGTGGTGCAAAATCAGAGCTTATTAAGAATTTTGGACAAAGGACTGAAATGGAAAAAAGCAGGGATTCTTTGCATGTGGTGAAGGCTTTCTCAACTAGGGTTAACAGAATTCAAGGGACTACAGACCCTGTCCATCAATCAATAGCCACCAAAGCATCTGGATCCTTTGTCTCAAGAACTAGAAGATGGATTTCACAAAAAACAAATGATAAGTTGTTTCTAGAAAGGACAGAGCCTAAGAGGAAGGAAACTGGCAGAGCTCCCATGCAGCAGGAGGATCCTGAGGAAGGGTCAACACCAAGGGTCTTTGTCTAAGGGTTAACAAGACTTTACTGACTAGAGGCACAGGGAGGGGAGTTGGTTGGTCCAGCTGGTCTACCTGGACTGATGGTTGATGATCATGCACCTCTGCATCCTTGTGGCTGGACTGGAGTTTTGGAGACAGCTTCAAAGCCAATGAAGTCTCTGATTGTGAATAGAATCCAGGCAGTTATATCCATTAGGTTGCTATGTCAAAGGAAAAGAAGGCTAACAAGAAGCCAGTAGCCCTAAACATTTCTGTCATTTATGGCCCTTGGCCAAAACAGAACTTCCGACAGAACTAAGGTCATTTCTGGCTTCTGGCCAAGACAGAACTGGTTGTGGAGAAATGAAGGAGAAGTATTCATTTCTCAGGCCCCCCCTGCCCAGCTGCCTGACAAGCTCCTTGCTCCTATTATCATCAGAGTTATATAGAGAAGAACAGAACACACCCAAAGGGATACTGGCTTTCGAAAGTCACTCTTAGGTGTGAAAGTCACTCTTAGGTGTATCTCCAGTGTGTGCCTGCCTCTGCCTCCCAAGTGCTGGGATTAAAGGGGAGCACCACCACCGCCCAGCTCTTTAGTTACATTCTTTAAAAGATGTAATTTACAACAATGTTCAAATATTAAGCAAAGCTTAAAATTTAAGCAAAATAAAATAAGCAAAAGTGTGTGTGTGCAGATTTATTTTCTTAAAGAACTGTCTTGTGTAAATGCAAATGTGAGGTAGTTCTATAAGGTGTAACATTTAGATGTTTAGACGGGGGTTGGAGAAGGGTACTAATATTAGAAGTCAGGGTTACAAACATTCCAACCGTGTGTAAGCAGAGTCCGTTTGTTGTTTTTGACCCCCTCTTTTAAGACATCATTAGGAAAATACACTATGTCTGAGACGATTGTGCCTTTTCTAAACTTTATCTAAAGTTTCTTGACTCAGACAGCAGAACAGGCAATCTAGATTCTGGGGTAAAGGGCTCCTTTTCCTGCTTTCATCCTTTGGTTTTCTCTAGCTTTCCATCCTGCCTCACCTTTAGCTTGATTAATTTGCTAAAACAGCTCACAGAACTTGGAGAAACACATATACTGTTTGTGATAAAGGATATTACAAAGAGGTCCAGGTCATTGTTCTATTGTTGTGAAGGGACATCATGACCAAGGCAACTCTTATAAAAGAAGGCATTTAATCAGGGGCTTGCTTACAGTTCCAGAGGTTTAATCCATAGTCATCATGGTGGGGAGCGTGGAGGCATCGAGGCAGGTGCTGGAGCTGTTGCTGAGAGCCTACTGCTCTCATAGGCAGAGAGAGAGAAACTGTGACACCAGGCCTGGCTTGGGCTTTTGAAACCTCAAAGCCCAACCCCAGTGACACACTTTCTCCAACAAGGCCATGCCTCCTAATCCTTCTCAAGTAGTGCCACTCCCTGATGATAAAGTGTCTTAGATAGGGTTTTCATTGCTGTGAAGAGACACCATGACAACGGTAGCTCTTTAAATCAAAACATTTAATTGGGGTGGCTTGCTTGCAGTTTCAGAGGCTCAGTCCATTATAATCATGGCAGGGAGCATGGCAGCATGCAGGCAGACGTGGTGCTGGAGATGTATCTAAGAGTCCTACATCTTGCAGGCAACAGGAAGTCGACTGAGACACTGGGTGGTATCTTGAGTGTAGGAAACCCCAAAGCCCGCCCCCATGGTGACACACATCCTCCAACAAGGCCATACCTACTCTAACAAGGCCACACCTCCTGATCATGCCGCTCACTATGAGATTATAGAGGCCAATTACATTCAAACTACCACACTAAGCATTCAAATATGAGCCTATGGGTGCTGGGGGATCTCTTTCTGTATGATGTGAATATGTGTTGTTTCCATTGGTTAATAAATGGACTGCTTTGGCCTATGGGAAGGCAGCTTAGAGGCAGGCGGGAAATCCAGGTCAGAGATAGTGAAAGGAGAGGCACAGGCAGAGAGGAGACGCCAGCTGTTGCCAGGAGAAGCAAGATGTGAAAGTACTGGTAAGCCATGACCACGTGGCAACTTATAGATGAATAGAAATGGGTTAAGTTACAGAAGCTAGCTAGTGAGAAGCCTGAGCCTTTAGGCCATACAGTTCGTAAGTAATGTAAGTCTCTGTGTGTTTACTTGTCCGAGCAGCTGTGGGACAGGTGGGACACAGGAAAACTTCTGACTACATATGGGGGTCGTTCTAACTCAAACAACCACAAAAGGCTATAGGGAAGCCATGAAAGAGATGTTCACAGATGTGTGAGAGGAGCGCAGAGCTTCTGCACCCTTTCCAGGAGCCCCCACTTCCTCAGCTACTCAGAAACCTCTCTAACTTAGTCCTTTTGAAGTTTCATTATGTAGCCGTAGTTGATGATATTATTGGCTATAGATTTATCAACCTAACCTGACCCTGGTCTCTCAGGTGAATGAGGCTGAAATTTCCAACCCTTTTATCTCATCGCATCAACGTATATAAGACTCTCATTACTACACAGAGTTCAAGCATTTTAGTAGCTATTTGCCAGGGAAGGGGTGGGGAGACCAGAAAGAATAATTTTTAAAACTATTTTGTCGTTATTTACTTGTGTGTATGTCTGATGAGGTCAGAGGGGTCAGATCTGGAGCTGGAGTTACAGGTCGTTGTGATGTGGGTGCTGGGAATCAAATCCAGATCCTCTTCAAAAACAATACATGCTCTTCACCACTGAGCCATCTCTCCAGTCCTAAGTTTCTACTTCAAAAGACAGTTTACAAAGATGAATGTGGTTGTGTGCACCAAGTTCAAGTCCAGTCGGGTCTACATAGATTTCCAGGATATCAAGGACCACGTAGAGACTCTCTCTCTCTCTCTCTCTCTCTCTCTCTCTCTCTCTCTCTCTCTCACACACACACACACACACACACACACACACACACACACACACACACACACACTAATAATAATAATAACAATAATAACAAAAAGGATTTTAATAAAATATCCATTTGAGAGGTGGAGTGGGGGATTAAAGAGCTTTGGGAGAATAATGTGGCACCATTGGATCTGACTGTGGTGGGGTTCATTACCATCCAAAAGTCTGAAGGGGAGGAAAAAAAGGAGGGTCTGTGACTAGAGATGGGCAGAGTGACCTTGCCTATAATCCTAACACTCCAGAGGCTACAACTGGAGAATTGCTGTAAGTCTAAGAACACTTTGAACTACATAAGAACACTAGTCTAGAGGCCGGGCGGTGGTGGGCAGTGGTGGCACACATGCCTTTAATCCCAGCATGCGGGAGGCCAGCCCCACTTCAGTACAAAGGCATCAGGAAACGAACACCCCAATGTTCCTTTCCTGTCCACCTCGCTCCGGCTGCTGCCTCTCTGGCCAAACAGAAGGGGCAGGGCGGGGGGGGGGGGGGGATCCTGGATAATACAGTATGCAGAGGTCAGCCTTCCAGGGAACACAGCAGGACAAGAAGAGCAGAGAACAAACAAAGGTGGGAAGGCAGAGCAGCCACCGCTGTGGAACGGACAGACAGATGCCTGTGTGGAAAGAGGGCATGAGAATGAAGGCTAGCGAGTGCTCACAGTGTGCCAGCCTCTGGGCTAAAATGCCTTTTACTGAGTAAAACAAGGAAAGCCCATTTAATCCGAAAAAGCAAATGTACTGCTGTCCTCCTTCTGTAGGTAAGGACCCTGGACACAGAGAGGACTAACTGTTGGCCACACAGCCGGTGGGGGTGCTGGCTTACTACCACCTCTGCACACTGTGTGCTCCAGACTGCGTGCTGTGCCCAGCAGACGGTTGGCACAGACAAGGTTGGGGGTGTGGTACTATTGGTGTGATTGTTTTCTGTATGTGCAAAACAAGGATTACAATCCGGGGTAATAAGCACATGCCTTAGTATGCCTGGGAGAGTTACACACGGTACTGCCGGCAGAGTGATTGAACCAGAGCCCAGAGGACAGTCAGAAATGCTGTTGTTATTATTACTAATGAATGAAAACAAAGATAAATGTGAGAAATCTAGAGCCAGCTTAGGTGGTAAGGGCACTTGTTATCAAGCCGAATGACCTGAGTTTGATCCCTGGCATCTCCACAGCGTTAGGAGAGAATCAACTTCCTCAGAGTTGTCCTCTGACCTCCACTCATGTGCTGGGACATACGGCCCTCCCTAGCACACAAAAAAGAAGTGTAATTTTAAAATAGTTTTAAGTCAGAGATGTAAGAAAACATTGCTCCCCGTCCCCGGTTAAAAAAAGAGGATCCAAGGGCTGGAGAGATGGCTAAGCCAGTAAGGTGTTTGCTGTGTGAGCCTGAGTCCCTGGGCTTGGATCCCCAGAACCCACCTGAAAAGCTGGGCACGGTGGCACACACCTGTACTCTCTGTGCTTGGGGAAGCAGAGACAAAAGGGATGCCGTGAGCTCACTGACCAGCTGGAATTGCCAAGCCAGTGAGTCCTGGCTTCAGTGAGAGACCCCCGTCTCCAAATCTAAGGTGTAGAGTCATGGAAGAAGACGCCAGATATCAACCTCTGGCTCCACATGGGCATGCACACAAACATATCTGTTTCTATACAACACACACCTACAGAGGACCCAGAACTTGGGTGCAGAGGGTTGGATGGGTATCCCATGTTAGCTGTTCTTTTGAGGTCCTCGCTTCTAATCTTTCTCACAAGGATGGGGAAATCACTAATTCCTCCCCCATCTGTCAATTCCTTGAAATTTAGGGATTTGTCTCAGAAGGGGCTGGCCAGCCCCTCTCCTTAGAAATCCCCTCTTCGTTCCCAGGATGGAGGGAAGGGAAAGATGGAGGGGGCTGTTCTAGCCCAGGCTCTCTCCTCCAGCTGTTCCTCTGACCTAGGCACTGGATTTGAGAAATGGGCAATGCCTTGTAGATGCAGGTGGTTGAGTCGCAGGGGCCCAAGAGGTAGGACAAGGGTCCTGGGCCCTGTCCTTAGGAACCTTCCCTTCCAGCCCTGCTTGTCAACTCCACTCCTAACTCTCTCCCACCCTCACCAGCACTTCTAAGGCCCGGGCCTGCGGCTGACGGTGCCAATGGTACTAACAAGAGACAGCACACACCCTCTCCCTGGAAATGACAGGACACAGCGTTTCTATTTTTTTATTTTTTTGGCCAGACTGTGGAAGTTCTCAGAGCTAAAGCCAAAGAAAGCAGAGGGAAAGCCACTGAGTGAGGGGAAGAAGGAAGCCAAGGTCATGTTTTGCCAAAAGAAAAAAAAAAGGGGTAGAGGGGGGTAAACGGGAAGACCCAAATGGGCCATGGCGGGGAATTTTGGGACAGAAAGTGAAAGCTTGGGGCATAAATTGGAGCCAGTGGCAGCCTCACACAGGCTCACACGGGCTCACACAGGCTCACATCCTCTTGCCTCTGGACCCCATCACACCACTCTAGGACACCCATCACTCTCTGTACACCCCGCAGAGCCTGAGCCTCTCACAGATTCCTGCACACACCCAGGAACTCTCAGGCCTGCACATTCTCTGTGGCCCTGCCTCAGATCACCTGCCATGGCACCCGGTGCGGCCCCACTACTGGCCTTCAGCCTGCTGGTTCTCGGGACCTTCCTAGGTAAGGCTGAGGAGATAACAAGGTGGGGGTGACAATGGCTTGTGGGTAATGTCTGGATCTCAGACTGTCACAATGGTCATGACAGACCCTGCAAATTCAGAGCCACAGGCTCCCTATGCCTTCTGTGTGTGCCTGTCAGTACGGATGTGCCACTAACCCCGAATTCCAATGTGGCTCAACTCTTGGCATCTCCTGGGGCCCTATAGCCGCCCCTCTCCCTGCAGGTGTCATGTCCTGATACCTCAGTTTCCAAGTAGCAGAAGGAAGGAACAGTATTTCTTGCTTCAGGGACCTAAGGATGTAACTGAGTTGGAGCGTTTGTCTCGTGTCTGAAACCCTGGACTCAGTGCCACCACTGGGGTTGGGGGTCAGCGCTTTGTTGTGTATCTGCTTCAGTTTGAGGGAATGAGAAACAATGGAGCAGGCCGGCTTAACAGCTTGGCCCCTTTCTGTTATTCCTGTTTAGGGGGCTTCTGTGTTGGCTTGGTTCAGTTTTTGAGATAGGGTCTCTCGATGTTACCCAGTCTGGCTTCACAGTCCTGGGCTTGGCTGATTCTTTTATCTCAGTTTCCCCAGGAGCCGGGACTCTGGGTGCAGCAGCCATCTGCTGGCTATGTAGCAATTCATAGGACTGAAGAAGTCCTTGGCCAAGGCACACCTCCTGCCCCTGCACTGTGACACCATCCACTCTCTATTTGCTGAAACATGGTGAAAATTGAGAAAATCTGGGAGAGGGTGTGTGACCAGGGCAGCAAGAAGGCATTTGTGGGACATATGGAAATGGTTATTTATTAAATGGCTTACAAGACTACGATGTGCTCAGCAGCTGATAGGGCCATGGTGGCACACAGTGGCTGCATCCCAGGTCCAGCTCTCTCTCACACAGAGATGCTGTGTGAGAGAGAGCTGACCCACAACCCCAGTGGTGGCTCTCCTTCCTCATGGCCTCCATGTCTTCTCCCCTTCTTTCTCCTGTCTCAGCCCCAGCTCTTGGGGGTGCTAACGATGCGGAAGATTGCTGCCTGTCTGTGACCCAGCGCCCCATCCCTGGGAACATCGTGAAAGCCTTCCGCTACCTTCTTCTCAAGGATGGTTGCAGGGTTCCTGCTGTTGTGTGAGTTGTGGGGAGACTGTCTAGCCCCATCTCCCTGTCAGTCCTTGGCGACACCACCGCTGCCTTATCCCTGAACTCATGGCCCAGTCCACCTTTCAATAAAGCCCCGAAACAGGTCCCCACACACAATATCCAAGCCTCTGCTCCTCATTCTGGGGCCTTCTAGGAAACCAGGCTCCAGATCCTCATTTCTCTCTGACCTCTGACTGCAGGTTCACCACACTAAGGGGCTACCAGCTCTGCGCACCCCCAGACCAGCCTTGGGTGGAACGCCTCATCCGAAGACTGAAGAAGTCCGCTGCCAAGGCAAGCCTGACCCTCCCCAGCCCCTCCTCCATCCTCCAAACCCCTGTCCAAGATTCCAGCCCATGACCCTGCTTCTCCTTCCTCCCCTTTAGAGCAAGCACAACAGCGGTTAACCATGACAGCACCAAAGGAGCCCTGTGTCTTGAGAAAAGGGATATGAATCGCCCTGGCCCTAGGAACCAAGGACCAGAAGAGAAGACCAGGCCTCCTGATCCTCTGCTCCAGACCTAACCCAGGCGGGGCTGTGCCTAGAGAATCAATGTGAATGTGGGTGTGAACAAGAGTTTGTGTGCCGAGAGAGAGCACAGTCTCTCCAAGGCTAGACTGCAGTGCTTCCAATAAAGCTGTTTGGTACCCGTGGATCTGTCTGTTCACTCTCCCCAGGAGAACAGGAATAGGATGGGAGGAGGTGGAATGGCAGGCTATATTTTGCACCCTGAGTTCTAAGCAATCTGTTCACCGGCCTCCACCTAACACCCTGACGCTCCCAGAACCAGCCCCACAATTAAGGACCTAGCTCATGTTTCCCCAGCCCATTATACTGCATTCAGCTACACAAAACTTGCATCAGCTCTCGGAACAAAGTCCCCAAGAAGCCTCAGATCTTTCAGGCTTTGGCATCCAGGGGTTTGATCATCCAGGTGTCTCAGGGATGAGGAGTAAGGAGCTTCGATGGGGATGAGAGGGTGTGCCTCTGCTGTCTAGACCTGCTCAGCCACCGAGTTGTTCCCTCTTCTCCCTCCTCTGCCCTACTGGCTTCCTTCTGGGTCTGGATGTTTCCTCCTCCAGGAAATCATCCCTGACTCAGACTGGGTTAGCTTTGCTTCCTCCCAAATCTCCATGGCTCTGCACCTTGTTCTCCCCTACACAACACCCACCTACACACACACACACACACACACACACACACACACACACACACACACAGAAACTCATTACAGTAACCTGTTTTGCTAGCTCGCCCTTCTCCCTGGACAAAGGTCATATCTGTGTTGGTTTCCAACAGATAGGGAGTCAATAACATTTGCTTAGAGAATGAACAAATATGAGAGAACGGGATCAACAACCGTGGAGGATAGCCCCATCTTCTATTCCATCCATTCTAAATCTGACCTCCAGACCAGATGTCCCGAGCAGGGTCCTGTCCCATCAGAGCAATCCTGGGGCCAGATATCAAAGACACTGACTGGGAGCCAGGGATTGGGGAAGGAAGACAGGCCCATGGGGTGGAAGAAAGAGCAGCCAGGGACACTTGCAAGATCCAGCATGGAAGAGCCTGGTGGCCATCACCTCTGTGCACACAGGCAACACTGGGTCTTAGGGAAAGAGTCTTGTCTGCAGGACAAAGGCCCTGTGGCTCTTGGAACAGTCCACAGCAATGCTCTGTGCCTGGGAGGCTTCCTATGGAAGCTTCCAGAGGGTGACCTCCTCCAAGGGCCTGTCCAGTGGGAGTGGCAAGTCTGAGTTGCTAGGATCAGACAGATTCTCTTCGCCTTGCCTGGGAAGAGAAGCCATCATTATATCAGATATACATCAGCCAGTAACCAAGTCAGGCCTGGCTGGACAGGCCTTTAAAGCGAAGTTGTAGTGAGGGGATCGTGCTCCCCCACCCCTCTCCAGCTCTCAGGCATCCCTGTCTTTGCTGTCCAGACAGGTGTTGAATCATCCAGGTGTCTGAGAGATCAAGTGTCAGTGAGAGAGGTGGCAGGAGAGAGGGGTGAAGAGGAGGGGCAGAAGTCTAGAGTGACTGGAGGTGTGGCAGCCTCTTCCTCATCTTCCACAGACAGGTGTTCAAAACCTCAAGTATCTCAGGTCTCAGAGTCACAAAGGGCTAGAAAATTGTTTCTACTGCCTGAGGTAAATTACCCACTCATTCATGCATCCAGCCTGCAGCTGCCATCCATCCATTCACCACCCCCATACCCATTTCCCGTGTACCAATCCATTAATCTGTAGAGTCACCCAGCCATGGAGCACTCTGCCTCCCACAGACAAAAGATAAACACAGATGGGGCGGGAGATGTTGCCTCAGATCTTGTTCAGGTCCCGAGAAGTCAGCTTGCCTTGAAAGCAGACATAAATCCTCACTCTGGTGCCTCTGGCCTCAAGAGGAATATGAAGAACAGAAGAAGCAAGTATGAAGCCCTGCCCAAGGTGCTACCAGGACAGAAGCCCTTGGACATTATCTCCGTGGCAGTGATGGGGGGGAAGTTGAAGAGCAAATCCTGATCCCAGTGTCTGGGTCCATCTCCACCTTATCACTGAGTGACACTGGGCAAGTTCCCTCCACATTCTCCAGCCCAGGGCTCCAGTGCCCGGTGTCCAGTAGCAGGGAAGGGCCTGACCAGGACTCCAGTGCCTGGTGTCCAGTAGCAGGGAAGGGCCTGACCAGGGTTCCAGTGCCCTGAGTCCAGTAGCAGGGAAGGGCCTGACCAGGGCTCCAGTGCCCTGAGTCCAGTAGCAGGGAAGGGCCTGACCAGGGCTCCAGTGCCCGGTGTCCAGTAGCAGGGAAGGGCCTGACCAGGGCTCCAGTGCCCGGTGTCCAGTAGCAGGGAAGGGCCTGACCAGGGCTCCAGTGCCCGGTGTCCAGTAGCAGGGAAGGGCCTGATTGTTGAGTCTTTCGAAAGACTTGACTTCTGGATCTTCAGAGCTCACACTAAACCTTCAACTTGGTACAGGCTTCCCCAACAGCCGGCACACCTAGAAACGTTCCCACTTCTTAGGACCCCAGGGCTATCTTCTGGAGGCTAAGGGGGGATAACCTAGGGGCTAGCGGCATGCCTTGTATCAGGTAGTCTCCTGCTTGACTAGGAAAGCCTGGGAAATTCAGAATTTAGGGCGTGAACACCCCGTAAGAGACAGGTATATAACCTTCCCCACTCCTCCAGCCACTACCTGCCATCTTAGCTTCCTCTGCCTCCCACACCCAAGCCGTAATGACCCCACCCCACCCCCGCCTTAGCACTGGGTCTTATTCTCTTATCTCTCTAGAAATCGGGGGCTTGCCTCGTCCTGCCCAAACATTCTCAGCACCGTGGCCCCATTTGTCTCCAGTCTATCTAGAATTCACTAGTGAGGACTGCCTGCCCACCTGTCCCTGACAATGGCAAAGATACCAGCTCTCTGACGGGAAGCGTGGACTCCTAGCTCCCTAAGCAGGATACGGAGGCTTGCTATACAACTCTGCATAGACACCTTCCTCCCTGGGGCACACAGAACCTACCACAGGCTCAAGGCCTGAAGTGGATTGATATCTTCTGCCATAAAGGCTCGTGGTCCCCGAAGGCCCAGGGTCCCTGAAGCTACTCAGTCCCTAAAGTACCTAACATCCTTGCTCAGGGAGCTCCCAGCCTTTTTAGATAAAGTTTCCTGCCATTAACGTCTGCTGAGAATTCCCCAGGGAAGAGATTGAGCCTTGTCCATCTCCATTGCCAGCACTGCTTTGCATGGCTAAACAGAATAAGCCCCAACACATACTTGATTAACGAGAAAATTAAATCAAGCATAGTCTTTCCTAATACACACACACACACACACACACACACACACACACACACACACACACACACAGAACACGCAGCACACAGCACACATCCAGTTCCCAAGGCAGTCGGAGCTGCATCTGTTGTGGGATTGAGTGTTTGGCCAGAACCACCTCCATACGGTTTTGATAATCTCGTGTTCAACTTCTCGGCAAGCCCCCACCCCATGTCACCCCCTTCTACCCTCCGGGAAATTCAGAATTTCAGCAGAAAGTCTTGGAAATAGTCTTACAAAGCAGCAAGATTTCCAACTGGGGAGTTTCCTCCAAGAACGGGCATTTCTCTATACACCAAACTTCCTAGATGCCCTCTCCCCCAGACTTTGTCCACATGGATGAACATTCACGCCTGGAGCTTTCTGGGTGCTAGGCACTGGTGTAGGGAATAAGACCAATCTCATGCTGCAGGTGAAAGAAAAAAAAAAAAAGAGGACTAGAAAGGAGGTAACTTGCCCAAGCTAGACAGCTAGAAAGGGGCGGAGCTGGGGTTCCAGCAGGGCAGTTTGGTTCCAGAAGGCTGCTACGCATACCATCTTTCCGAACTGGTCCACCCCCTAGACGAAAATGGAGAACAGTACGATGGGGCCAGATCTAAAGGTTTAACCACTTATGTCCACATGGTGGCCATGCACCAGTCTCCAAGCCCAGGCCTTTGTCTGCATTACATATCATTGTCTCCTCAAATAGCCTATGAGGTAGGTATCATTACTGCTGTCGTATATATGAGGAAATTGTGGTACAGAGAAGTAAAATGACCACTCAAGTCCACAAAAGCAGTAAGCAGCAAAGCTGGGACAGAAGGCCAAGTCTGCCTGAGGGCCAGAGTGCTGTGCAGTCTAGATGGGGCTTGCTAGGAAGGATCAAGTGGGAAAAACAAGCACAAGTGAAGCCGGAAGACCCAGGCAGTGCTTGAACTCAGAAATAGAAATGGCCCCTGGGGAGCAGCCATCCTCTTGACACTCTCCAGCAGAAGGGCAGTGAGATTCTCCAGGGCTTCAAAGAGGAAATCTGCTCGGGCATCAGCTTTCCTGACCTCTAACGTCAGCACAATGGAATGCGGGACCAGGCTGCAGTACCCGCCCACCCGCCCGCCGGCTCCTTATTCCCAAGGAATGAGAGGAGTGAGAGACCAGGGCCTGGGGGTGCTAAAGGAGAGGAAAATGGAAGGGCAGGGTTTGTGTGTGGGATTTCTAGAAAGGGCCAGGGCCAGCCCTCTGATGGGCCAGGGGACTGAGGGTCTCTGCGCTAACCTGCCAAGGCCCAGTCTGAACAACAAAGTATTCGGTGACAGCAGTGAAGTGACAGTCTCGGGAAAGACACATTTGAAAGGACTACTTCTATTTCCTGAAGGGTTTTAAGCAGGCAGGCAGGGGACAGGATGCAGGAGGAGCCTCTGAGGATCAGAGAGATCTTTGTGTTTCTGTGCCTAGAACTTCCGGCTCTTTCCTTTGGCTCCGTGAGAAGAAAACATGAGCTATCCTGGTCTCCCACCTGGTAGAGATGGGAAGCCTTTTTTGGTTTTTTTTTGGTTTTTGTTGTTGTTTTGTTTTGTTTTGTTTTGTTTGAGACAGGGTTTATCTGTGTGGCTTTGGAGCCTTTCCTAGAACTCACTCTGTAGCCCAGGCTATCCTCGAACTCACAGAGATCTGCCTGCCTCTGCTTTCCGAGTGCTGGGATTAAAGGCATGTGTCACCACCGCCTGGCGAGGTGAGAAACCTTTAATACCAGCTGGAGGGACACTGGAGTTCTAGGTCAGTTGGATCCCCCAGAGCTTTGGATCTCAGACTCTCCATCCCTGAAGTCTGAGCCTATTTCCATCAACACCTCAGTCACTGCAATCGCATGCTCATCAGACAATTATTTCAAGGATCCTCCCCAAAAGAAAGCCAGCCTTTCTTGTCAGGATTTGAGAACACCCAACCTTAACAAGAAGTCCCAGGACCTATTGTATCCTCATCAATGACAGGGCCACCATTAACGTCAAGTTCTCCCCATCATCACCAGGCCACCAGTTCACTCAGAAATCTTATCACCATCAGAAACACACAAGCCTGACAGGGAAGGACAGAAACGCTGTTCAATTCCAGGGCCACCACTTTCTCTATAGCCTACGTACACGACACCTCCCAGTGTGGCAGCGTTGAGGGTCAGAGTATGACTCTTCATGTTAAGTAGGGCCTCCAGTAGTCTCAAAGCTGTCATCATACAGGGTCCTACCAAACCTCTTTTCATTTAAAGTACTGCTTTGCCACTGGCTGCAGCCCAAAGTATTTACTCATACCAAACACTGTCCTGGTTGCTAATAACCCAATAATGAGCTAAATGAATATGGTCTCGGGCTTCATGGAGTGCCTCCTGCTTATAAATTAATGCATCACTAAGAGTTGTACTTGCAAGCCACTGACGCCCACTGGCAGATTTAAACAAAAGTGGGGGTGGGGAGGCCCTGGGAAGATGCAGAAGATCACAAGGATGGGGGATCCAGGAAGACCACTCTCCAGTCATGCGCTACAGTTAGGACAAGTCAAGGCAGCTCTCTGAAACGGTGTGGTGCCTTGACCTTCCTCTAGTCATATTTCTAAACAAAGATAAAGAGTCTCCAAGGTCAACAGCATGCCTACTCAGATCCCATGTTTCTCTTTCTTAATCAACATTTCAAGGACTTAAAAAACAGGGAATTCTCTGCCCCCTGGAAGCAGCTTCTTCTGTCCCGTCCTAGAATGGACCACGTCACTGGTGTACAACACTAGTCCAGAGGGTGGCCAAGAAGCAGCTATGTGTGAGGAATATGGAGCTTGCACTGGAGTATGGGGCTGGGATGTTTGCCCTCGGGATTATGAGACCCTTAAACAGAGTAAGATAGGAATCCAAGTAGGAAGAGAAAAGGAACAAGTCGAGAGTGAGAACTGGCCCTTCCCTTCTCACTCTCAATGGCTTGGGTATGGTTTCCTATGAAACTCATGTAGAAATTTAATTCTCATTGACCGGTGAGAAGACAGAGACAATAAAACGGTGAGGCCTGAAGCGGGAAATCCACAGGAGTCTGCTTAAGGAGTACTGGGGAATTTATGAGGGTATAAATTGAGGAAATACACTCACGAATACAGAACCGAGTAAACAGCTGAAGTCGTCCTCTGTTCTGAGGGAGCGAAGCCACCTGGCAGTCTGCTCACACCAGGAAGCAGGAACCAGGGAGAAGGGGCCTGGTGACCCCTCTCCCTTTCCTTTTAAGAGGTCACGTACAACGGCAAGAAGCACCACTACAGAGGCCCTTGTGAGGTGATTCAGGGTTGAATAAGGTCAGCAAGGTTAAGCCCAATGACTGAACTGTAGTGGCTTTGTAAGAAATAGAGATTGTTATGTGACACCGTGGTGCCACCACAGGACTCTCACAGTAAGAAAGCCATCACCAGATATGGACCTTCAACCTCAGACTAGAACTATAAACCAAAACAAACCTCCTTTCTTCATAACTTAACCAGTGTGTGGTTGTGTGTTATCAGCAACACAAGGTGAGCTGAAACTCATTTCATCATGGAACTTCCAAGATCCAAGGATTCCAAACCCAAATTTGGCCTTCAAGTTGTTGTGAAAGCAAATTTTTTTTTTTTTTTTTTTGGTTTTTCGAGATAGGGTTTCTCTGTGTAGCTTTGCGCCTTTCCTGGAACTCACTCTGTAGACCAGGCTGGCCTCGAACTCACAGAGATCCGCCTGGCTCTGCCTCCCGAGTGCTGGGATTAAAGGCGTGCGCCACCACCGCCCGGCGAAAGCAAATTTTTTTAAGATAGGAAGACAGACACTTTTCATTCATCATTCTGTTAGTTTGGTGTGATGTTTTTAAATAGATGGACCAGGGGAATAGTTCAGTGGTAGCACATATACTTAACTTATCCCAGAGATAGATAGATAACAGAGATAAATAGATAGACAGATGACAGGTAGGTAGGTAGATGGATGGATGGATGGGTGGGTGGGTGAGTGGGTGGATGGACAGACGGATGGACAGATCCTCCACTTGTGAGATGAACAGCCTACTGGCTGTCACATCTCTGTAATAATAGCTTCAGTTGCCCCTGTAAGATGGACATTATTTCTATCACCACTCCTACCACCTCCAGAATAGATTCTCTGATAACCCTGCTCCTTTTCATCAGGTCTAGCTGTCTATTCACGGCCCTTGAAAGGTTTTTCTGATTAGCAAAGCCTGTGCTATGTGTCTGCATCTCAACTGCAAAGGGAGCTGAGTGCGTTGCTCTTGGATTCTACAGTACTTGCAAGCTGCAGCAGTAACCAAGGCGAACAGAGCAGGCGAGTCCGCAG